AACTATATAATGTGAACCTGAATAAAATATTTTCCGAGACAATACCTCACCTCTTCACACACTGTATCTTGGTTCCTTCACACATCTGCCAATGAGCCTTGCATGCCACTAGCCTTGAGTTACCTCCCACCTAAAAAAACATATGGTTAATATAAACTGCACTAGTGCATGATGACACCATCATGTGAAAATAGCCCTCCACCAATAGAAGGGCCCAGTGTGCATGAAGAAACCCACAACATGTTGAAAAATGGCTGACATGTCCTCCACAGACAAGCCAACAGTAGACATAGTCCTGTGTGAAGAACATTGTCACTATCACAGGATGAAGTGGAAGTTAGCATCATTTAAGAATTCATGATGGTTGGAAACACCATTAATTCTTTTTTTTTTTTAAATCAAAACCATGCTGGTGATGAGAATCACAAATGCTAAACCAGGGAAACTTCAATGAAATTTAACTTAATAAGAAACCATCACAAATCTTAAATAATTGATTAACAATTTAAAAATATGTCCATACTAGACAATGCCAAGGAAAAGAATGAAGTTGGTTTGAGTGCAAGTACTTGGGGAGAACTACTTCACAAGGAGGTTATGGTGCCTCCTCCTCCCATCTGTTCAGCTGATGTTCCTTCTCCCCAATTTAAACATGACCAGGATGTTGGTGATTTTGACCATTTATTTCCCCACTAGGGTTTGCTCTAGGCAAATAAAGACTTGTGGATAAACACTTATCATTCTGATCTCTTCCTTGACATGATTTCAAAGGTATATAATTTTCTTTCTCTTTGATTACTCCCATGCTTTATTACATGAAACCCATACTCAAGACTACTTTGTTTTCCCTCCTTCAACTGAAAAAACACACCAAAAAAAAACAACAACAGGGTCCATGCAGACTCATTTCTCAAACAACTGCACACCTGTGTAAATTTACCTTGTCCTCCTCATCTACTTGCCTCTTTTGTCATTTTGTCTTCATCTCTGTTCCTCAATTCCCAGTCCTTGGAATCTCTTTTACCTCTAACTGCTATTTCCCTTTCAAGTGCTCAATTTTTGCACCCTCATCTCTTTCTCACCACCCTACTGTGTTACCTGTTGTCACTTCACCTTATGTCTGAGGCACTTCACTGTGCCCTGGAGGAGTTTGCTGAAGCAGTACAGTCTTTTCTTTTCAGCACATTGACCTGTACTTCTTCTTCTGCTCTATCTCTACTTATTTGGTTCCTCTGTTGTTGGGATGGGATGCTCTCCTAGCTAAGGTATGCCTACCTCACGTTTATCTTCATGACCTTCATTAACTTCACTTCTTCACTCAGGTTTTCAGGGGTGTTCCCAAATCACTGGAGACCCAGGGTGAGGCAACCCAGCACAAGTACTCTGTTTACTTTGGTTTCTTGACATTCTCAACTTCACCATTCTGTTCCTATACATAGGCCTGCTGAATCTATGTATCCCTATCCCACTCCAGCTTCCCAGCCTTCTTTTACTTCTTGTTCTTCTATTTTTCCAATGTCAGGGTCGTCATTCATCTCATGGATGATTGGCTTCTCCTCATCCCTTCTCGAGAGGACTCCTTCACTCACACCTGCATTCCTTTGTGGGAGGTGCTCAGTTGGACTGGCTTGTAAATATTATATTTGATTCATCTGGGCATGTTCTTCAACTCCCAACTCACTTGGGCTCAGCCTACACCACTTTGCTGTCCCCTCTTCTCGAATTTACCACCCTTCCAAGAAAGTATGAAATTAACACAAGTTACTCATTATAATATAGTTATTACTCAGGCAAAGCGTAACTTTCATAGTCTTCAATCTTATTTGTTTATAGAGCCATAAACTAGAAAATCAGGCCCACTTGCCAGACCCATCAGTCATCCTCTTTTTCAAAAACTGCCAATAGTTCTCTCTGATGTTTTGTATTATATTATTTATAACCAAAAGAAAGCCAAAGTTTTAATATATTAAAGAATGTATTATATTATGTTGTTTTCAGTACAGAGAATTGTGTATTTTGCTTTCAATTCAAAACTTTATTCCCATAAGAAACAAATTGACTAGCTTAGCTGAATTTTTTTAATAGTTCTTATCGCATAGCTAGAAAGGCAGAAAAATTATGATAGTTATAGGACATTGTTTACTTTTTACATGCTATTATTGTGTTCTTAATAGTGTTATTTAAATTAAATAAAAAAATATTTAGTGTAGTAGTACCATTAGTATAAAAAGTAGGCTTAAGTTTCATCAACATTTGACAGCAAAAAACACAAAGACCCAGGTAAGTATTTTAATTCTTGTTTTTCATGTGTAATCTTTATCTATTATTATAAAAGTTACTAAAATGAAAACATAAGGAACTTATTAGGTTAAATCAGATAAGATAAAAAAAAATTCTTCATGAGGTATGCTCCAAGCAGCTCATGCATTACATAATTCAATATGGTAACATGAGCTGCACATTCACCGAGTGATTTTCAACTTGTCTGGTGGGATTATTAGTTAGACAGTTAAAAGGTCAATAACACAATAATATAAAGTATAAATAGATGTATATTGTTACATGCTTTAAGCTATTTAGGATAAACAGTTGTGGTATTTTGTTACAACTTACAATGATTCTAGAAAGAAAAACAGGTGATATAGATTTGTTTCATAATTTTTTTATGGTGGAGAATGTAACAGTATACATCTATTCATATTTATTAATTTTTTGGTTTTATTAACCATTGAGCCATGTCTAACTAACAATAGTACCACAGATGTTATAAATCATGCAGCACACATGCAGTTCATGTTACCATATCAGATAGCATTAAGCTGGCCTTTATAAAGTGCAAATGTCTTGGCTTTGTACCAGCAGATAAGAATTTTGTAAAATATAATCACATTTCAGTTATCATACATTACAAACATATACACATACATACATGGAGGATGTAAAACAAAATTTTTGTAGATTTTATACATGCATTTTGAAATAATAAAAAACTATAATTTACTATATCAATACCACAGAATTCTACTGTAATGTATCAGGCTTCTTAGCTAAACTGTATATCGGTCTAAAAAATCTCATTTCTGATCACCATTTTGTCTTACCTCTACTTTTCAAACTTAATACAGAAAGACAGTATTTCCTGCGTAAATCCTTTATAAGGACTAGCAGAAATTCTATAGCTGACAATGAGTGCTTTCAGTTGGTTATTAACATGTATATGAGAGAAATGGGTGTTGATACATAAGGATTTCTAAAAGAAGAAGAGGTAGGTGGAGCCAATGTGGTGGATTTCTTAAATATATCATCTCAGCAAATAGAAAAGGTAGGAGGTCTTATTTTATATTCTAGCTTGTCAACATCAGTAATTTGAGTTTCTAATTCACAAGAAATTATAGATATTGTATTGTGGTTGTCATAAAATATAATCTGAATGAAAGCTGGAAACAATGCACCAAGTGACACACAAAAATCAATATTTAGCTATTGTTTTAATATTTAATTTTAAATTAAATAATGTATAATACTAAAATTTGAATTATAAACTTCAATTTGATGCCAAATTTATTGACATACATTCATAAAATAGTAGTTCAATATAGCTTTTAAAGGTTAGTCTACAAACATGATGACATGCCCTCTGACCCCTCTTTACCCATAGTGATAGAGTTAAGCAACTTTATTCTGTATTTTTATCATGTATCCTGTAAGTGTACTGTTCAGAAATAGATGCAAACAGTGAGAAGCAGCTGCATAGTACATGCTCAAGAAAGCACCTCAGTAAGTTGACTAAGAAAACTGGTATTAAGGATAAGTTTGTGTAATAATATGAAAGTGAATCACCTCTTTAACCTTAATACTTGCACTAAAACCATAGATGAAATGTATTTAAATCTAAATTTTTAATTCTTCCAGTGGGTCTAAATTTTAGTTACAGATTTTTGGTTGGTACTTCCAAGATATTTTTTTATCTTAACCCATAATTAAGCGAATGATTAAAAAAAGTAATTATTACTTAGTTTTGTATTATGATATTTAAACTTAGCTAAAATGGGTAAAGTAACTATTAACATGGGTTCAAAAATGTGAGCAAAAGTATAATAAAAATACTGTCCAATTTAAAAAAGTAAAATATGCAGCATGATGATGTTTTTGACTTGATTTTCTGCAAGTGTGTCAAGTGTTGTTTACGCATGAGTGACTACAAATCATTTTATGACATCAAACCATTATTCTGCTCAAACCTAATTAGTCTTGATGGAGAGACATATGGAGTTCTTAAAACTAATTCTTCAATGTTGGAATGTATGACATATTCTTAGCAAGCACAGGGACAAAAAGTGAGATATTTTACACTTGATTAAGTCAAACTTGAAGGTCCTATTTTACTTTAATGATACAGTCTTTTTCTAGTGCATGATATCTAATAGATGAATTCAATAGTTACCATTTCTTATTAATAGGTAGTATTAACTTTTATTAGTAGTATTATGATTTAGTAAGTTAATTGTGCTTTAAAGATATGCAACTATAACATTAAACTTAGTATTATGTATTAATTCGTACTTAAATGGAAAATCTCTTTCTTATCAGGTTAAAACATATTTTTGAAGAGTCTCTAGCTAAGATAATATAACTAAAAATATGAATAATTTTAATGATGTTAATACGGAATCAGAATAGTGTACAGTGGTGTTGGCAAAAATAACTTCATTTGTTTTGCTAAATTTTACTCAGACTTAATATTTCATACTTAACCCATATCCATGTTTTATAACCCATTTTCATAAATATTCTCAAATGAAGGCAAGAGAATTTTGACTTGTTTGCAAAGAAAACATTTAGATTTGATTGGCAACAGATGAGGATCACCCAGTAGTAAGAGTTTAGAGGGCTGAATTCTCCATCCAAATCTAACAATTACAGTTTCTTTATCAAATTGTTTTTAACAGATAAACATAAGTGAAAGTTAAATAAGCTGAGTAAACATAACAGTATTTTACCTTTACATTAAAGAGCTTCGCACTTTGTGATGGTTTATACAAAGATGGAAAAGTCATCATAGTTTCAGCACTACATGTTCTGTCAAACAATCCCATTGCTAGAGGAGGAGCTGCTGTAAATATCTAAAAAAAAACAAATAATAATCAAGCAAATTACAGCAAATACTGAGAGCAACTTTTATTATAAAAAACATCTAAATACGGAAAATTTATTACCAAGATTATTCATAAGATATAGTTATATGCAATGATTACACTTCCACCTATTCAACGAAGGGCATTATTTCAATCTTACTTACAGTAGCTGCTAAAAAAACTATTTATAGCAACTCTTGATCCTTTTTCATCCAGCATGGCACTAGCTGCTCCATTAATTAAATGTTATACACTAAGAAACATTGTATAAAATCATATAACAGTTCTAACATTCACAGTTAATGACACTTTATGACAATTATTTCCACCAAAGTTCAAGGTATGATAATCCACACCCCCCCAAAAAAGTGCTTGCTTGCAAGTTCACTTTTCCCAATCAAATTGGCACAAATTCAAAATAATATTATCTTTGTAAAGCTGCATAAGCTACAAGTACAAAAGCTCCTCTTCCAAAAACAATGGTGAGAAAAAGAAAGACTGTAGGAAACTTTTTGAAATATAGGCTCTCTGCTATTGGCCATAAGGTGATAAAAATATTTCAACTTAATAGAGAGTATAAAGATAGTTGTTTGCAGGGTTTTATGCTTACCACATGCTTCTCATATAATGAAAAAACTAAACAATACCAAGTACACAATACAGCAAAGGTGAACTTTAGATACTATCAAAATACATATATTGACACTAAATGTATGAGATGAAATCCCTGTACTCTATAGCCAGCACATCAGTTAGGTATGGTTACATCAAGATAAAGCATCAAGTTACACGTCTCAGTCCACAGCAGTATTTCTACAAACCATGGAGAATAAAATTGGTGTTCATGCAATCTCTTTCTCCAATATACCTGTGAAAACACCTATCATGAACTTTTGTATATTTAGTGTACTTTAATGTGGTCTTTACAACCATCATCCATGTGCTGTTGAAGGTCTGTAGAAATACTATTAAAGTGTGTGATCTAAACTTGATAACTCACTATCCTTTGCAGAAGCTTGATAAATAGAAACTGTGGTGTTGGACAACAATACATAATCACAGACATCAGACAGAGCATGACCAGTGTGAGAGATAGTAGTTCCAAGAGAAGAACGTGGTCTGGAATATTGTTATTGTAAAGCCCAATTAATTCTCCACATAAAAGTTTATGCTTGATTAATACAAAATGTATCCAAGAAAGTTCAAATCCTAAGCCCAATAAAACCCCTGTAAAATATTTAATTGAATAGAGATATGTCCACAAGTTACATTTCAAGATCTCTATACAAGTTATGTACAATACTCACCTTTTACTAAGGACCAACTTTTAATGTCAAATTAAAATCAATACTTTCTCAAATAAATATCCATTTGTAACTGATACTTATGCTAGTTATTCTTTTTACCATTTTTCAGAACACAATGAATGAGTTTTGTTGAAATCTTTGCATGGGCCTGAGGTATAAATAAGCATAATCTTAAAATTTTTAATTTTGAAGACAGATTGGCATAGCCATATAATTCAGTACTTGTATGGCTATTTGATTAGATACTGTCTTATCAGTAAGTGTAATGTCTCAGAGACAAATTAGATGTTGGTTAAGTAATGAACACTGGGTTGCTTGAAAATGGAGCAACTTAACTCAATTACTGAACATGTCAAAATGTGTGGCTTCACATACATGGAATCCTATGTACAAAAACATGAGCAGGATCAGGAGACAATATGGTGGGAGATGAAGATGAGTCACAACCACTTGGGAAGATAACCATATTCAAATTGAATCACACTCATGTTCTGTCACAAATGTTACTCATTTCAAAAATGATCTTCAAAATGGAACCAGGGTTAGAGCTGAACACAGATGCAAGTGGCTTCCTGAGGTTGATATCGAGTCAATAGAACTCTATTTTGTGTTCTTCTGACACTCAACAAATGGAGAAATGTTTGATGGAACATCAATGACTGAAAATCAGTTCTCTTCACTAACAAATATGTTGGTAGGCCCATAACTAATAAGCTGTTTTAGTTTTTATTTCTATTGTGGTGAGTCAATAAATTTCCATATCTATGTGTCTACTAAAGTATTTACAGCTTGTGCTAAACTGGTTTAATATATATAATATATATATATACACCTGGAAAAAAGTTAAGCACCCCCAAAT